GAGAGGGAGATAAATATGGAGGAAGGAAGAATAAGGATAAAATAACAATACGGTACTAAAACAATGATCAGGCATCATATCATTAGCTACCTGCCTCAGTTATGTATAATGCATATAAATCTGTGGATGCATATGCACATATAATTTAAATGAAAATTTGCCATCTGTGCTAACAATATTCTTCTCAAGAGCCATAGACTATCTAACAAGAATCACAACACCAGACAGAAAAAGTCATTTTGTGACTTCTTAGTCAAGATTGTCGAAGAGACTCCCAAAACATTATAATATATTCCTATTATCCTTGTTTGCCTCTCAGAGGTAGAAGGTAAATCCCTATTGCTGAAGACTCCATAAACTTTAGATACATGATGCAGAGGACCTGATCTGAATCCTCAGGAAGTATTAGCTTTTAGGGTACCAGAAGTTAAGATGCAAGCTTCCAAGAGCTACAAGTAAAACAGTCCAACCCAGCTAAAATGCCTGTGATTCACAACAATGGCACTCATAGCTTGATATATCTACAGATATATTAGTAGCATGCATACATTGCTTTTAATCAACAGCTCACTAAGAGGAAATAAGATGTAGGCAACAAGAGTGAAATCAGACTTGATACTGGAAACCTATACATGTACTTAGGAGGCTAGTGAAGTTATATATCTTGGAGGTAAACCTCCATTCTCCACATCACTAACTAGCATAATTGCTAACTACATTCTAAATATTTATATTAAACCCATAGATAAATGTAGTTCTCATTTCTCATCAAGGAAGCATCTTTTTGTAACAGTGACCTTTCCAGAAAGCCACAACCTAAGCTCAGAGAACAAGAAATTCTGTGGTCTCTGTCCTGTCCCAAGTGAGGCATCTCTTATGCAAATTTCTGCACCTAAGGCTCAGGGATCATGGGAGATGAGGGGAAGATGCAGGAGCCAGAGAAACAGAAGGTATGTTGTGATATTGTGTCTCCACGACTATACTTGTGAAGTCTCATCAACATGGCTGTCTAAACAAGACCTGGACAATGATGATGCCATTGGACACCATTGTAGTAGGGAAGAACTTGGGGTTTCATCCACAAAGAACTACTATAGGCAACTAAGTAATGCTGATATCAGGAGAAATAGTCTTCCTCAGGGATATTACCCAGTTGGTTTTCTGTTATCAAATGGGATGATATACATTCTGGGGACATTATATAGATTAATAAGAATATGTGTGTATATATGTGTATGTATGTATATACTGATTTGTCATATATATTCTGAGCAGAAATCCATAAACATATGTGATGTAGGAAGTCCTTAGGTATATGTGTTGCTTTTATTGGTTAATGAATAAAGAAGCTGCTTTCAGCCAGTGGCTAAGCCATGGCTTAGCATTTTAAGAGGTGCTTCTGGATAGAAAAGAATTGCAGCTACACAATAGGATAGATTCAGACATAAAAGACCTCTAAAGGAGTCACAGTGTGTTTAAAAAATGTACATAGGCTTGAGAGAGAGAAGAAAAAGAGTAAAGAAACAGTAAATGTGATATAAAAGAGTATACCCAGTCATAAATTAAAGGAGTAAAGATAATAAAATAAATATTAAACTTGTAGAAAAAGTAATAGAATAAGAAAAATAAGCCATGTAAAAATGGAATATACACAGAAAATCTGGATTATTTATATTATTGGGTTTTCCTTGAATTTTTGACTGTGAAGGAGCTAAGTACAGAGAGAAATTTCATTGTATGGACTGCTAAGATAAACAAACATATATATTTTAAAGGTATCATGACTTCAAAATTTTGGTTTTTGGAAAAGAGGCTTTTCTTTTGTTTACACAGAGGATGAGAACCAGTGGAATCCTTCCAGAATAATGTGGTTTAGTGGACTAAGACCTTCCAAAAGGTCTTTGTGAACACCCCAAAAGTTACATTGTCCAATAAACAGGAAGGAGTAGTTTGGAGAGAACTATGCCCAAATTCCCAAATATTATTTATAAATGTTTGTTTATATTTCAATGGGGTATATTATAGAGATTTGCATTTTTTTGAAACAGAACATTTTATTCTCTTAGTCAGAAAAAAAAAACTATTTTCCCTTAAGGAGTTTTGTCCCTTAACTGCTGTTGTCAATTGCATTTGGAATGACTTCATGGCCCTTCTTTTTCTTTCAAATCCCTCACAGTCCTGATTTCCTCCATTTTATGGATTTTGGTTTATTGATACAAATAAGGTCGATTTCATTATATGTATATTTCTGCTCTTGATTAACGTATTGTGTTTGTGCAACTCATTTAAAAATGTGATATATAATTAAGAAATATAGGTTAATAGATATCATCTATAATAGTAAAATGTGTAATCATGTTAGGTTTTTTAGATATATGGAGATATCTTTCAGTTAGATAGGTATTATTCAAATCTTTCAGAGACCTTTATAATATGGAATTTAAAATGTTTTAAGAATGTAGGCCTTTCATGACAATGAGGCACATCTGCTCCTGGCAGTACTAATCTATTTCAAGAGGGTAACGGACATTCTAGAGGCTCCTTATGGCATTTGTTAGCCATTTGGGCAAGAAACTGCTCTTGTCTGAACTGATAGACTGGACTTACAGGACCCTAAAATGACTAATGAAGCTGTATAAAGAAGGTGAGACAGTACTTTAGCATTCCTGATTCATGAAAGAGTCTGCCAGACCTTCAAGGATGCAGAGGAAAGTTACTGACAAACTGCCAATATAGGTGGAATTGTCTTTGAAATTTTTTGGTTCATGGAAAGGTCTGCCAGATACTATAGGCCAGTAAGCTGAAGATGGGTGCCACAATGTTATTGAAGACCTTTGGTGACTGTCCATGTAATGAGATGTCTCTGTCAATTTTAGACATGGAAGTTGCTTACAATGCACTTCCTGTTTTCTTATGTAATATTATAACTTTCTGGAGCCTTTGATGGAGATGAAGAATGGATAGTTATAGTCATAGTTTTTCTTAGGTACAATAAAAGATAAAGTAGATAGAAATATTGTAACCATAATTCATGCTTGACACCTATTTTGTTAAATGTAATTTTACTATGTTCAAATACATCTTTCCTTTTTATTTAAACAGAAAAGGGGAAATCCTTCTGTATATGTGTTGCTTTTGTTAGTTAAGGAATAAAGAAGCTGCTTTCAGCCAGTGTCTTAACAGAATATAGTAAGGCTGAAAGATATCTCTCTCTCTCTCTCTCTCTCTCTCTCTCTCTCTCTCTCTCTTTCTCGAGAGAGTTTTTCTATTTCATTTGTTCTTTTTGTTTGTCCTTACTTTTCTTTGTTTTTGCCTGTCTGTTTTCTTAATAGAGATAAAGAAGGCATGGATTTGGAAGTGTAAGGAGGAGGAGAGGATTTGGGAGGAGTTGAAGGATGGGAAAGAGCGATCAGAATATTTTATTGGAATAACTTTATTTTCAATTAATAATAAAATAAAATCTCAACCCAGATGACTATAGTAAGACTGAAGTTTTCTTGTCAACAACATTTTAGCATATGAGAAAAAATGACCTTTCCGAAAGAGTAGCATCACACAGGTGTTAACTCCCTGATGGTAGGGCTCAAAGGAATTAGCATCACAAGGGTTTAGTTTCAAAAATCTGTTTTTGCAAAAAAGTGAACTAGACTCTAAAGAAGGTCATTTGGCAATTTTGAGCTTAATATTTCTCCTCTATACAAAGAAGGTAATGGCTAAGGATTAAACTATTTTATGTAGTTAATGAACAACTTGTAACTTCTGAAAATAAGTTGCCTAGCAGTATGGTAATAACATTTCAATTGTATACATGTGTCATCCTTGGAAATCTAGGCAGGAGGATTAAATGTTTCAGACAAAACCAGTCTACATAGCAAGTTCACAGACAAAACACTTTCCTATTATAACATTGATTAAATGCTTACAGAACAAATGAACAGGCTTTTTTGTTCTGCCTACAATTTACTTACCTAATCTGTTACCATTTATTCTCTGCTTCACTCAACATGATGAGATGGTATTTCTCCTTCAAGGCAAAATCACTTCTAATTTGTTTTGTGTTCTTTTCCTAATTACTTCTGCCTGCACAGGTCTCTTAGTTTAATTTGCTTCTCTTTGGGATAAAAACTTTTCATTTTCTTATAAATCACTTTCTTTAAGTGGACTACAATGAAAAGAATTTTACTTTATTTCAAATATTAGGTGTGTCTTAGCATGTAGCTTGCAATTTAGTTATTTAGTTTGCATTTTTATTTGACCCTTCTTTACTTTCCTGGTTTGTTTTTATGCCAGCCACATTCTTACTTTTGGACAGGAACCATCCTGAAATATCTAACTTCTCTAGCAAGCATGGTTTTGCATAATCCCATCATGACCTCCCAGGACAAATACAGGTCTGAGTATTTGCCAGTTTGAGTAATATATTTCTCTACCCATTGTGATTCAAAGCAAGGCTTTAGGATCTCTTATTAGATAATTAAGGGGCAATAATAATTTCACAGAAATCGTAGTATAGAGTTACATTAAAATTAGCTAGAGTTTTATTTTCTACTTGTAAAAACATATAGCTTCAAATTAACAGGGAGAGATATTGACTAAAGGGAAGAAGACATAATGAGGGACTTATATCTGATCATAAGGCTTAAACTTGGTTCTATTTCTGCAAGATATATGTACTGGTGTGAGAAGGTAAGAATTTTATATTTCTCCTAAAGTGTGTGTGTGTGTGTGTGTGTGTGTGTGTGTGTGAAATAGGTACGTAATCAAGAGAACTAGTACAAATATATTAACTCTTTCCATGAAGATTATAATTACTGATGATTTCCCAAGCTTTTTGATAATAAGATTGTGGCAATAATGAGTTTTGTTACAATAATGAAGAGGATAAATAAACCAAAAGCACATTCTTAATGATGTAGATATTGCTTCATTATCTTGCTATTTATATTAGCATGTATTTCATATTTAAAGAAGACATCAAAGACCACTTCTGTATTCCAATCTGTAAAAATATTTTCATTATGTTTATTATAAAAATATAAATGTTCCCACTAGAAATCATTTTACATTAGTAAGAGGCCATCTACATTGTGCAACATAAACTAAATGAACAATGCTTTGAAAATGGAAGTTGAAAGAAAACACATACTGCCAATCATATCATATTTATACATGGCTTGATAGATACTTAGTTCAGCATAGACTGGGTGTGTTGACAGAAATAAATAAAATCTATAAATCAAATTTAAGATACAAATGAGATAATATGGTACATAACTTTGCGAGGGAGTGGTAGCCTTATTGTTATGGGAGGCAATGTAGTTCCTGTACAAAGAGATGGCCTTAAGCTTTCTAGTACCTCTACTCCCCAGTTCAGAATCGTACATTGTTATGTTTACATATGTACAGGGAAGGGATTATGCAAAGTAATTTTATAAGTGGTCAGAGAATAAAATAACTGACAAATGAAGAACAATGTACTCTGTAAACCACCTCTACTTCCAAACATAAAAAGGAAACTCTATTCAAATAAATGCAATAGATTTAATTTTCATCATCTGCTAATTTTGAAATTCATTGTTGTTGAGAGTCTGCAGAATATTGTCTAAGAGAGTGAACACTAATATAACCAAATTGGTATAGAAGCTAGATTTAAATTTGGACCAAATATTCCAACATGTAAATTATGTGAGTAGATTCTGTTGTACAAGATTCTGTGTTTCAAGAGATACACGCAAAATTTATGATTAATTTCATCATCTTGTGTTCAAAATATTCATGCTCTTAAAAGTCCAATACAAATTCCAGTAGCATAATTTGACTATAAGGAACATTGCCAAAACTTGGAATACAATTTCACATCTGAAAGGACACACCTAACTCCTAGTATACTAAGTCTACAAAGATCAGCATTTGGCGGTTTTTCTCAATGACTTTAAGCTTTAGTTCTTTAATGTCCCATTTGTGTATAGACATACTTGGTAAAGCTTGTCTTAATCTTATGACATGTGCATTTCTTGGACATATGAAATGGTGATATGAGCATGAAAAACCAGCATCTAAAGTATTGCTTCAACGCATCCTTCTCAATATTAATGAACATGCTCATAATTGGCCTTTAGAGAACAGCAAGTCTACAATCTCCACAATGAGACATCTCTCCATTGCCTGCATTTATGGATTTATTTGCTAAAATAGCTGCTATTTCAAAAATGATATATATAATAATATGTGTAGAAGTTCAAGACTTCGAATTATGCACCCAAATCACAATAGGTACATTGAAGTGGAAGACCAAAAGATAGTTATACCTGATATTGAAGATGAAAATGTGTTAATAATTGATCTACACCCCAATGATGCAGATGAGTAGCTTAATTATCATCTCTACAAGGAATTCTGCAAGTTTAAGCAATGGTACTAAAAGATTTTTCAAAGTCAGTGATTCTTTTGGCTTCATGCATTTACCTATAGGTTGTTGTCAATGTAATCATCTAACTTAATTTTGATCTTTCCAGTGTTGCAAATCTAAAGAGTTCTAACAAGCTTCCTTCATGAATGGAAGGAGTTGATGACCTCTAAGCACCAGAACAGGAGAGGGGTGATATCTGGTTAAAAATCTATTACATACAAGCCAATATATTACACTAAATTAGGAGCATACAGTTACTGATAAATGGAGAGACAAAAATGAATGGTGTAATTCAAGCTGTGAATAATTTGGCTACTGTATGAACATGGAAGGAGTTTCATCTTGTTGGTACATATAAGTGAATTGCTTGACAGTTCTAGAAAGGAACACATCATTCTCTGGGTATACTTAAACATGTTTCTTACTGCTGACAATTTGAGATAGCATTTGGCACTTGGCTGTAACAAAACCGAAATTAAATCATCAAGGCATAAATACAAACAATAAAAACCATCCAAAAGAAAATAAATATGCACTTCCTCCCCAAATTAAGACATATTTTTACATGGTATGCTTAAGGAAGGTAACAATTAAAAATGTGTAGTATTTAAAACAACTACATACTTCATCTCTATATGTTTCAAACAGATAAAAGAGAATACTAAAGAGATAAGGTAGCAAATATGGCCAGATAGTTTGAGGTATAAATGCCTCTATTTTGTTTGCTTTTAAAGAAACAAAATACCTGCTACAGATTTCTTCTGTGTATAAAAATATCACAAGTCTTTTATTCTGTGGCCATTCATAACAAAACCTCAGGTTCCGTTTTGCTATTTATCTTAGTTTACTTTTATGATAGTTTATGATCAATGGCTCTACACAAGTTCTTCCATTTTGAGCTGAAGAGTTTTAATCGACCCCATCAATTAACATAAAAAAGCAATTACAAAACAAAATGCACCCACCCACCCACCCATCTGTAAAATGATAGGGGAAAATAAAGAGATTTTCAATTTCGTTTTAAGGCATTTGGACTTATAACTGAGTGTCTTATTAGACTTGGAGCTTTCACTGGTGTCTCCATCATTTCCATCATTCTCAGGATGATGCTGCATCTTCATTTCTCACATTCTTCTTGTACTTTACACTGGAACTGGACCATTCTTAGATTGTGTTTCAAGAGCTTTCATGCTGCTGATGATCTTCTTCTGTGGCCCAACCACAGTAACACCAACCTTTTTCATGTCACTGTAAAACATAGGAGAAAATAATTGATAATAATTATGGAGTTCTGGAGAATATAGAAAGAGGACAGTTTTAAGCTTCAAATGGACATAATTATGAATCCCTATGCTTGGTACCTTGCTTTCTAATTTTTTAAAACATTGATATGTTGTTATATTTGGGCAATTCTATTTCTATATTGTGTAGGAACACAAATGTTGTAGTGGGTATGCTTCTCAAATCTTTTGTCACCCACAACTTCACAATATGTCTTTGTTTAAAATTAGAATTTCTTGGAGATATAATTCAGGCAGGAATTAAGGAAAGAGAGTACTAGATAATTGTGAATACTAAAGCAAGTGTGTGTTTCTTTATAAGAGACTAGAAAGCATACAGAATGGCATGGGAGAAGAAGAAAATATACAAATGGAGGCAGGGATTGAGTTTTACTGTTACTCATTAATCTCATTATTCACAAGAAGCTAGAAGAAGTAAGACTTTATTTAACAATGATATCTGAGCAAGTTTATCAATGCCTTGATTTCAGACTCTTTTTCTCCAAATTAGACAGAATAAATTTGTGTTAGTAGAACGACTGGACATTTATTTATAAGCCCAACTCACAATAGATAATCATACACTCTTTTTGAAATCTTTTTTTTTCTATTTCTCTTGAATATTTTGACTATTTTGACTGCAGGTATTTAAAAATTCAAGTCGATATCAAATGTTTCTTGTACTCAGGTCTCATGACATTGAAATCTTCTATGTTTTTTTCTCTTGAAACACCCCTTCTGTTGCCACAAAGCTACAATAGAAGTCTCACTATGCTAATACCATGTGGTAGCCTGTTGGTCTAGTGTATACTCCTACTATGCTAAGGCAGACAATAAAGCAAAAACCCTGTCAATCTCCAAATGGGAGCTTTTTTTTTAAATCAACTTAATGTTCCAGTCAATACCATATTTAAAGTACCATGACTTGATCCTCCTCATCAGTTCCTCCCAAATTCCTCAATCACAACAATGGTCCGTATCTCAAATTCCTGTTGCCTTAGCCTTTATTTTTGTACTGTCATAGTTTAATGGATAAAGAAAATCTTTATTAAATGTAAAGTAGTTTAAGCTCAGAATTGTCATTAAAATAAACATGGTAAGAAAACTAATTCCATTTTCAATGAAAAACAGGTAAATAAGTATATTTTATGAATTAGTCCTTGTTTAAACAATTCACTAATATGACCATGTTTCAAGTCCTCCCTCAGACATTCTCTTCTATTGATAACTTCCTGATTCTCTTAAGAAATGCAACTTCCTATTTCCTTCCCCATTTTATTAATATCAATTATGTCACTTTTCTGATTTATTTTATTTGTTCTTTGTCTTGTCTCACAAGCAGTTGCATTCTATGTGAACAGGGTTTCTTGTGAATTTGATGTTTGCAAACAGACAGCTCCTTCAACAATGAGTGCCATTTAGTAAAGGCTTTATTTTTACTACAGAAAGAAACATCCATGTGTTTAAATCCAGCATTTGAGAGGAAGAGACAGGTGAATCTCTAGGAGTTCAAGCTAACATGACCTTTAAAGTGAGTTTCAGAATAACCTGGGCAACATAGAGAGAATGTGTCTTGAAGAAGAAGCAGGAGGAGAAAGGAGAGGAGGAACAAAGACTGACAGTCCACACAATATCTTGGGCATGCTTCACTATTTCTTTACAGATGCCATCCTCCAGCATATTTCTAAAGAAAACTTTATAAGTATGTCTTAGAGTCCTAAGTCAGTGATGTAAAGCAATAGTGGATCTATATGTGTAAAGGTTCAATGCAGAGGAATACATTTAATTTTGGAGAACATAAACAAAATATTCCTATCAGTTTTTCCCTGCCTGTTTTTTTTTCTTCATTTTAAATGGATTGTCTACTCTCTTTACTTCTTTGTATTCTCTGAAGCACTCTGCCATATCAAGAGTTTGACAAGCAACTGCTGCAGTCTCGATAGCATGCCCTGTGTACATAAATCACTTGGATTATCCCATCCTTCAAATCTCAAGACTAAAGAAGCGCCCCAGGTCATAACCAGGGGCTGTTGTGTTATCTCTAAGTCACACACAAAGGGATGGGGGTTAGCACTTAGGAGATAGACTCAAAAGATGCTTGATAATGCATGGTAATGACCTGTAGCTGTTATAGTTTGGTGTTCCTCACCCAAGTTTAATACCCTCCTATCTCCACAGTTTTCATCATCCTGCCCATCTCTGTGTTCTCCTTTCTTGACAGAACCTCTCTAAATCTGCCTCATGCCATAAAATAATATTTTATTAACATTCATTAAAAATATTTTCTTGGCTTCATGTGAAAATTTAGGGACTCAAGTAGCTGTCTTCTTAATGAAATACTTAAATTTACTGAAACAATTAAAATTTATTTGAGAGGGAAACTCTCCTGACCTTTTCATAGGGCTTGGTTGACTGATCAGGAAAACAGAAAGAAATTCAATATCCTACCCAGGTATCTGATTATTCTAGGAAAATTTCTAGGGTTATTTGGTCAAGTGGATCATTTTTGAGTTGAGCCTGAATAGTACAAAGGACACAGGAGTTTACGCACTGAAGTTCAAATGATAAGAATGTGAGTATAAAAGAAACCTAAACTATCTAGTTAATAGTCTTACAGCATTTTAGATGAAAATGTCACTGCCTGATTATGTTTACCCTGCTCCATAAGTGAATTAAAAACAGTAGGCCTGGGTATGTATATACGTGTGTGTGTGTGTGTGTGTGTGTGTGTGTGTGTGTGTGTGAGAGAGAGAGAGAGAGAGAGAGAGAGAGAGAGAGAGAGAGAGAGAATATATATGTATATTTGTGTATGTGCATGTATTTGTGTGTGTGAGAGAAAGAATGTGTGTGTGCATGTGTGTATGTGTACATGTGTCAGTGGGTTTTGCTTTTATGTGAATGCTGGGATTGGAACTCAGGTCTTGGGTTTGTACTTGAGTGACATTACTTAATAGATAGAGCAAACTCCCTAGTATAGTAAGGATTTTTTTCTTTTTCTTTTCCATTTTCTTCTTTTTATTTTAATGCTGCAATTCCATAATACCAGAGACATGCATAAGGTATAGAATATGGTGACAGAGGGCAGAAACATTATCAAGACAATTAATACTGATCATACCTTGCTCCTAAATTGCGGGGCAAAAAGGCTCTCTGGTAGTAGGGCATGAGACATCTAATCTATCTGTGTGATTGAAAGGGAACTCTCTGATAGGCTTGTACATTTGAATCCTTGGATTACACTTGGTGGGACAGTCTGAGAAGGATTAGGAGGTATGGCTGAGTTGAGGAAGTTTGTCAATGGGAATAAACTGTGAAAAGTTAAAAGCCCAGGCCATCACCACATCCCCAGTAGCTCTCTCTGTCTGTCTCTCTTTTCTTTGTCTCCCTCCCTTTCTCTCTTTCTCTCTCTGTGTTTCTCCAACTTGGGATCACCCATATGGTCTCAACTACCACACCAGCATCATGCTTTCTGCTATGATTCCTGCCACGATGGTCATGAACTAACCCTCTGAAACTGTAAGCAAGCCTCCAATTAAGTGATTTCTTTTAAAGTTTTGCGGGTCATGCTGTCTCTTGACAGCAAAAGAACAGTAGTCAAGACACTCTATGGATCTGAAGAACAAGCCTAAAGAAATGGAGACACTCAGAAAAGGCAAGTTTGCTTTCTGAATGTGTATTTGCCAATTATCCAAATGCAAATAATTATGGAAGGAAATTTTGTACCAGCCAAGTAGCTTACTGAAGTTCGAATGCTGACACAAAACAATCCCTAATTTTTAGATAAAGATATCTTTGGGTCACCTGTTTTGAACAAATAGCTTTCTTATTCCATTCATAGCTTCTAAAGACTGACTATATTTATGATACGAACTAGCAGTTAATCTTTTGAAGGGTGTTCTGCTTCCTATATTTTTATGTAGTATTTCATTATGCATTATGGAGTATAAACATTTGCATAAATTTACCTTTAAAGTCTGACAACTGGGTGAAAACATTCACTATGTGGTTATTTCTTGTCAGGCTTCTATGCTCTAAAGCAGGTGTCTTGTATATCATAACCCTAACTGTTTATGTTACTAAAATAAGAATGTATAAAAATGTTCAAAGGAAAAAAGTTTGAATGCACGAATATATCCTGTAACTGTGGCTGATCAAAACAGCTACCACGGAAACTCAGAGTATTCTTGATTGATTAAGAAATCCACTCAGTAAACATCACCTTCCACTTTAAACAGTACTGTCAGTGTATTTTAGATGAACTAATGTTACGTTTACTTTCTGAGAACAAGCGATCCTTCCCAATAACAATCAACACTTTCACAAGTTCTTCTGTCATCTTAAATGTTTCTGATCAAAACACAATCATATAAATTATGCAAAATATTTATTGTATATTTATGCATGTATTAATTACACTATGTAGTACTCTTTTGGAGACATAACATGTGACTCCCTACAATGCCGTTGTTGAAGTGACTGTCTGGGTAACATTCAAAGTCTTTATAAATGCAATAACTTTTAAATACCTCAGATGAAGAGTATAAAACTTAAGTGAATCTGAAATGACCAACAGCTACATTCAGCAAAGTGAAGATCAAAGAGAGAAAGTCTCTGACACAGTATTTCGCTAAGCTTAGAAGATATCTACCCAACAAAAACATCTTTCTGTAAGACAGTCTCACATTTCACATTTGGACAGAGGCTTCTAGAAACAAGCGAGTACTCTCTCAATCTACATCTTTTGAGCAGAACTGAGAAGTAATGGCAAGCATGTGAATGGAAATTCTAATGAACAAATGGAATCGAATCATTCCTTGTTTCTTTACTAGAGACTTAGTTAAGAGAGCTGCGTCACACTCAGGTATATGATAGAATAAACAGAGTTGAAGAACTCGTGTGTGTGTGTGTGTGTGTGTGTGTGTGTGTGGTGGGTCTGCATGTTTGTGATCATACAAAAACTTATATTGTTTATGAGATAAGAAAAGGATGCTGTCACATCATCAGTTTGAGGTAAATTTGACCTTATTTATAAAGAGAAAAGAACATGACCAATTGTTTTTTTTTTGTTGTTGTTGTTGTTGTTTAATACCCTGAGAGTTAGAGAAAAATATGATCATTTTCCCTTGGAACACTTGGCTGTTTCTCACTGTTTTATTTTTGGGGGACAGGATTACAAGGAAGTCAGACTTGTGTCAAACCCTTTATGTACATAATAATAATCTTCAATTTCTAATAATCTGTCTGATTTTCAAGTGCTAGTACTACAGATGAGCACCTCTACACCCAGGTTGTATAATTCTGGGGATTAAGCCAGGGACTCATTCATGTTAGTCAAGGATTCCACCAGCTTAGCCATATATCCATCCCTCACTTGATTCTCTATAAAACCATTCTTCTTTAGTCAAAGAGTTTCTCAAAAAGAAGATTCTTTTCAGAGTGACTCCTAAAAAACATGGCATATTTGGTTATTATTAATCTTTAACATAAAAAACTATGTTAAAAATAACAACCCTCATGAACTACCAACTATCATACTCAAGAACTAATCTTTAAAAAAAAATAAAAAGTCCATTTTACAACTTTTTAACTTCACTTTTCCTGCATGCTTTTCTTCAGGGAGTAAACAATAATACATAATGATAGAAGATATTTAGCAGTTGTGGAAACTGCTTTTGGATTTTGATATATTTTTTTCAAATACTAGGTCATTGCTCGGTTTCCCGTAACCACAGATATAAAAGTTTTGTAAAAAATAAGATAAACACGGCAAGTCACATATATAGGAATACTTACTGTACCTGATAATGTTTTCTTTTAAAGGCTTTGAGCTATTTATCTGCCAGCCCATCCTGGCATATAGAAAGACCCTGTCCTGAAGATTTGTCATAAAAAGGAAGATAGCTAAGCGTATGTCAACACAGGTGTTGTACAACAGGCCCCAGGACCTTACTCTGTTTTGACAGTGTGTGCTACTTTCAGAAGAAAAGCAGATACTGTAACCCATCAGTCTTAATCAGACATACTGGGTATGTATAATCCCTTAATAAAAGTATATATGATCAGGAGGAAGTTCACAACCCTCCCTTTTCTCTCCAGTATGCCACTTACTCTGTGGAGATCTTGGCGATGGTGTCGCACGAGCTGTACTCAACCCCTGTGAAGATTTCTTTACAGTGTGCTGTCCGAACGCCATTAAGCCAGTCACCTGTTGTGTGGAAGGTAGTGATGTCAACATTGCTTTGGTCCAGAAGAAGGTTTGATGGCCTGCAAGAAAAGAAAACATCCAAAAGAGAGAAATCAGGAGTGATCGCAGTGTCTAAGTGTCAAAATTTGACAGGACCAGCCGCAGGAACTTCCAGACTACATGCAGTGTTCCTGTTTATTTGAGGAATTGATCTGCCATGAACTCTTCATCTGTTCAAGCTGGCTCCTTGGAAGAAAGATGGTGATTTTCATCTCACCTAAGTGCTCCCTTCTCTGCCCTTCACAGCTTTTACACCATCAAAACTTTGTCAGCAAAACATATAAACATGTCCTCCATAACGTTTTGCTTTTGAGCATTTTAGTTAATTAACAAATTGATATTATTTAGATATGATTGTAGCAGACACAGCACAGTAAATACTTAGCTATCTGCCTTGTAATGGGCTTTGTTTTAATTTGAAATCCTTCACAAATGAAAGATTCTTGATATAGATTGTGTAGCTTTGGTGAGTAAAGATGAATTTAAAATATAAGCTACATTTACAGCGATACATGGATTCAGCACAGATTTTAATAATACTACCAATGTCATTTATAAACGCAAAAATTATAAAAAGACTAGAAAATGGCAGATGAATTTATTATACATGGAATTATTGCCTATTGAAAGCCACCAAATGGATATTGTACATGCATACACACATATACAACAAAACACACACACGTGTGTATGAATATGTTCACAGACATTCAGATACAGAGGTAGATTGTGACTTATATTGACAGCATTCATTAGAATACATCTAACATTGATTTGTGGAGTCATGGCCCTATTCGCACATCCTGGGAAGTTCCAGCTTAGCTGAAGCAAAGATCCAAAACAAAAATAAAAGCAATGATGGATACTGTTTCTATTCCTAAAGACTAAAAAGAAGCAAGCTATGGGTAACCTCTCTTAGGATGGGGTGCTTTATTTGGTTGGTTTTTCATTTCTCTGAGCTCTTAGTGATCCCTTTCTTTAACTGTCATCAGAATGGAAGAATTTACTGACTCCTTAATTTTTTTTAAGAAGCTTAAAAACAAAGCAGTTACAAGGGCTTTGTTTCTAGATTAAATTTTAAATTTATGAGCACTTATATTGTTCCAATCCCAGTTCTAAGCACATGGCACAGACATCAGGGCTAACTTTCACGACATTAGTTAGGCACAGATGGTGTATGCTTGTAATAGATGCAAAAGCCAACACTAACAGAAATTAAGTTACAATCTCGGTTTCCTAAGGCAAAAGAGGCAGAACAGGGATCTAGACACAGCTCGTACTGGACTTGGCACTCTACAATGCTATGCTATAACATTCAGTTGAAAAGTTGTTTAAAGTGGATTTCCTTTGCTTTTTGTTCCTTACTGCATTTCTGATGGTAGGATGGGACCTCTGATCCATACGTGTTGTGAAGGATCAGGGAGGAAACCCGGGTATAACAAATACTATCTATGTGGCCAGGAGGGTTTTCTGATTTCCTCATCCATAAAATGGATGCATGTGATACAAGTAACAGGTGTTCCACAGCCGGCAGGTAAATGTATTGGTTATATTTAGAGCAATGTTGCAATTTAATTGCAGAGCTTTGCTATTATTCTGACATTGGTTGAATACTCATTGAGTCTCCATAACACTTTGAAAACTTCAAGGAGAAAATTTAGAAAACTAAACTCTATGTTTTATACAATGCCTTGATTGGCGTGATATTATTAATTACCACATGAGGGACTGTTTGGTTAATCATGTGTAATATTATATATACAATGGAGCTTCAGCACTGTAAAGGCCTCATTAGAATAGTCAATAACTTTTACAAGCTCATTAAGAGGTCACAGACTACTCTTTTAAATGAATGTCTGATCTCATTATTGTTCTAATTATTAGACAGAATATGTTGCTTACATAAAGCCTGTATCTACCATAATCTCATTTATATAATTCTAAATATGCCTGTTCATTTTTCTAATCACAACAGAATTATTGTTCAAACCCTTTTATATTCTATGAAATTGGCATTGGATTTAATCTTTGTTCATCTCTTAAGACATTTTAGTGTATTTTAAAATACCTAAGACCAAATATGTAGTTTAGTTTAAAGCACGTTCATACGATTCTAGATTCAATCTGTAGCATAAAATATCCGTTATCATCAGTTTTAAAATGCTTTTATTTTATCCTCTTAAAAACACATGTCTAAAATAAATATATAATGTGAAGTATTAAAATTCAACATTTAGAAATATGGGAACTCAACTTGGGGATGTAGAGGCCTCCAAGATAAGTTAAGAACAATTAGCTTTCTTCCTTTATTTTTGAAGCAAATTCAACTGGGGTTAATTGTAGTCACATCTTATTAAGTAACTGAAAGCATTCCAATGTTCTGGAGCTACACTCTCTCTGACGTATGAAAGCGATCACCAGTTATCATGTGGGCCCTGCACGGCAATGTTCCTGCTGTAAATAAGAAAACGGCTCTGAGCAGAGTTCCTCAAGGTGCCCACTCTGCATCTCAAATGTTCTTTCAAATGGGAAGTTTCATTGACCGCTGTTGATCGTCCCCATCATCCCTTAACATACAAAAGACATGTAAAGTATAATAAAGTTGAGGATTTTTAAATTTTTACTTTGTTTATTATTCTCCCCTGCCTCGTGTGTGTGTGTGTGTGTGTGTGTGTGTGTGTGTGTGTGACAACAATGTATTGTGGATGCCTGTGCCACAGTGCACATATTGATGATATTGGAGGGTATATTGTCTCTGTCCACTTTAATATGGGTAATGGTGGAAAACTTAGTTCATCCGTCCCGGCCGCAAGCCCCTTTACCTACTGAGCCATCTTATTGGCCTAGAACTTGAGTTTTTAAGTAAGGAGAATTTCAGAGCCTGCCCAAGACCCGCATGCTATTGCTCAGAGTCGGAGAAACCTATAATTTGAGATACAATTATACAGACACATTAAAATAATTTGATTAAAAATTTCAAATTTAAAACCAATTTAAGGAAAAAGGAACAACAATACATTTCATTCTGCCTCTATTTTTGTCATCTATAGACACATAGCTGATCAATGGATTTTTTTGGGGGGGACCAATCAACTTTTCCTATGTATAAATAACACAGAAAAGCATAAATCAAGTATGAGAAAGTTTTATAAGAAAAATGAGTGAGACCGAGATACAAGAAAATGAGAAACAAAAGTACCTTGGATGTGAGAAGTATAAAAAGACCCTAGGATGTGAACACACACAGACCAGTTTCCATGTCTCCGGTAGCTGTTGCACAGAACCCATGTCATCTCTTCGTGCCATGAATAGCAATACTTTTTTATTTATGGGTTTGTGGGTACAAAGAATCAAACCCCAGGCCATTTATTCAGGATATTTATGAAGTGTGCCTAATAGCAAAATGGGAAACATTTTCTTCTCAGCACAGAACGGTTTGTATTTTCAAACTCAACACTTTGGACAGACTCAACAAGAAGTTGGAGAAAATTAGTACAAACAAATTGAAATAGAACAGGACGTGTGGATTAGGGATTAGAGTGACCCCAGCTGAGTTTTTCTGTTTATGACTTGGATCAAAGTACAACCAAGACAAGAAAAAAAGAAAAGAAAAAAAAGAAGGAACCTAATTTTAATGCCGGTGACCTCGGAATAACCGGTCCTGCAAAGTATCATTTTTCCACTTCCAGGATCTCTCTAGGGATTTCAAATAAAAATTGGTTCCTTTCCTCCTCTGAGAGGACATCTGGAGAGTTTATCAATGGATAGGAATTTGTCTCTCACTGTGAAGAGCCTGTGATGTCTCTTCATGCGCACCAAGGGAATCCAGCATTCTGAGCAGCTGCAGGCAGCAGGGTTTTTTTAGACCCAGCCCCAGACTTGGGGTCTGAAGGGGAAATTTATAGGCAGGGTGATGTGCACCGTGAGCTCACACTTTTACTAGACAAATTAGATAGGTTTCAATCCATGCAGCTGTAAACGATGTCCTACAGAGTTCCACCTGATCTTTTACAGCTTTTCATAAATCAGTGCCTACTGGCCACAGACCGCAGTCATTAAAAAGAAATCATGGAAATTACATGTTTGCTCAGGGGAAGCAAAAAATAACTTTCCTCCCCTGCTTGCTCCCGCCTTGTATTTGGGTTTGTGAATTATTCTTTTATGGGCTTTCATACCCTTGCATTAAAGAGGTACACATATTTTTCTTCCCATCAAGTCCTATTTTAGCTGCCAGTGCTTACATACCAATTAGCACCAGGTAGTGGGGAACAAATGTCAGCTTCCAACTGCCAAGTCCAGGAATACCTCCTGATAATAAGGTTGTTTCAACAATGCCCCGGATTCGTTAGGATTGAGTCAGGAGTTATTCTTGTCTGGCTTTTTCTTTGCAAATAGTTCTAATGCTATGCACTAAGATTATGAATGATACATATTTCTTGAACCAAGTAGCTGATGCCATGACATCTAGAGAGATCACTAATATGAGAGATGCGTGCTGTAAAATAGTTAAATTTTATTTATTGGTAATAATTTCCGGGAATGTTAAGTCATTTCTTAAAGCCAAATTGTTGTTACCATTTTTCATTATCCTTTTCAGTACCTTTTGTAACTTACTTTTAAGTTTCAACTTGATACATGTTCATTATATTTGAGAAGGAATGATAGATTTTTAATTTATTTGAAAGTGGATCAATGCTAACCTTGATCTCTTCATTTTTAATTAAAATTCCAAATACTATTAAATATATAAACTTTCCATTGGTACTGAAAAATACCTTTGAACAGATAAATGCATTCAGAATTATACGTAGAATAAATATTTTTTGTTTCTCAATGAAAAAATTACTACACAACTGAAGCGTCAAATAGAAGGCCATTGTATTATCTTAAACATCTTTATCTTTAAGAGAAACTTGTGTATTTATAGCTTTTTGTGCTATAAATAACTCTCTATAGAAAAATTAGTTACTTTGATTTTAAGGTTTCTATTATGAAGAAGAAATTGCCTGGGTATCTAGAA